CACATTTTGTTCAGCCGGATCAAAAATCTAATTGATAGATTTATGCTCAATAGATTTATGATTCAAAAATTATAAAAGTAGGGTAGACATGTGGATATTATCCGGCTGAACAAAACGTGATCCGTCTCTTAAATGTGTGTCAACCACAGACCTTATTTCGAGCTATTTTCCAAAATCCTATGGAGAAATTGCATTGTTGTACAGATGCAAATAGGTTGCATAATGTACTCAATTAATTGTATTAATGTATTGATGTATTTATATTTTATAAAACAGAATAGGTGATGCATATTTTAAAGAGATTCCAATAAATGTTAAGGTCTTTTGAAGAGAATATTCCTGTCTTTATGTGAACTGAGCTAAACAAAGTGTTATAAGTTTAAGTCAAAATGTAATTTGTTTACAGTAAACAAAACACAGTATTGTATTGATGTACAAGTTTTTGCTTTGTAATAAAAGAAACATATTTTAAGCTATAATAAAAAATATTGCCTGCAACAAAATGAAGTATTTTGTTTAATTTCTTTTCACAAACTTAAAAACTCTTCTTAGATCTAATATAATTATGAGGTTAGTCCAAAAGGAAAAATTAAGTTATAACAAAGTAATAAATGATGTGCGGTCTTCAGAATGAATCATCTTATTACTTGTCAATGTAAATACACTGAACAAAAATATAAATGCAACACTTTTGTTTTTGCTCCCATTTTTCATGAGATGAACTCAAAGATCTAAAACATTTTCTATATAAACAAAATAACCATTTCTCTCAAATATTGTTCACAAATCTGAAAAAATCTGTGATAGTGATAGTGACATTGAGCATGTTCGGGATGCTCTGGATCGGCGTATACGACAGCGTGTTCCAGTTCCTGCCAATATCCAGCAACTTCGCACAGCCATTGAAGAGGAGTGGACCAACATTCCACAGGCCACAATCAACAACCTGATCAACTCTATGCGAAGGAGATGGGTGACATGTTAGGGTTAGGGTTTAACCCTTGGGTTTTCGGACCCCCCCAGACCCCCCCAATAAAGCAAAACTGCACGTTTCAGAGTGGCCTTTTATTGTGGCCAGCCTAAGGCACACCTGTGCAATAATCATGCTGTCTAATCAGCATCTTGATATGCCACACCTGTGAGGTGGGATGGATTATCTCGACAAAGGAGAAGTGCTCACTATCACAGATTTTTTCAGATTTGTGAACAATATTCAAGAGAAATGGTTATTTTGTGTATAAAGAAAATGTTTTAGATCTTTAAGTTCATCTCATGAAAAATGGGAGCAAAAACAAAAGTGTTGCACTTATATTTTTGTTCAGTGTATATATCTTAGACGGAAGCAATATTTTTTACTTGACCCAAATTAATTTTTTGAGGTCAAAAAATCGATTTGGAATAAGCAAAAAAAATTAGCTGTAACAAATTAACGCAATTTGTTCAAGTTGATCCAAAGTATCCATTTTGTCAGTGTATCAGGTTGTTGTTACACCTGCATGTGTGATGAGATTCACCTGATGATGAACGCAGAGTTGGTCTGCTGAAGGATGTTTTTCTCAGAGTAGATGTGCTCCTGCTGTCTGGTGTCGACGATGTGCTTCTTCTTAATGCACTTCAGAGCAAACGTGGTGTCCTCATCCTTCAGCTTTACCTGAGATGCAACAGAGAGGAGTTAGCCTTCATTTATAAACACTGTCCCTGTAATAGCCTCCCGAGGAAAAATACTTTCATCACCCACCCTGTCATATCCTCTGACCCAACCTGCCATCAGGTCACAAAACTGCCCCTTAATTTTGCAGATGTATTTTAATAATATTCTTATTTTTCATCCATTGGTCATATGTTTGCTCAAAGATACCATACTACAAAGGGACTTGAGTTGAATAAATAACAAGAAGAGGGTTTGGCAGTTAAAACGTTATCCAGATAAATAAATTGCAGTATAATGAATAGTAGTGTTACTGAAGCTAACCAGCTCCACTCGTCCAAACCCTCCCATGCCCAGAGTCGCGATGACCTCCAGATCCTTGAAAGGCAAGAGGGAAATCTTCTCCCTCAGCCTCTTCAGCTCCTGGGCCTCTGCAGAGTCAATAGGGGAGTGGGGCCTGAGAGAGGAACATCAGGGGACATACGGTCACATTTGGGCCCCTGTTTGCTTTTACTCATACACTAACTCTGTCATGGTGCACTTACAGGGCGTTTCTCCTCTCATCACTCCTGGAAAGCTCATCTACATATTCCTTCAGATAAGACTGGAGCTCCTCATAGGTTCCCACCATTTGGTTGAAATTGCTAGAGGGGGTAACAGGGGGCAATTAACAACCTTTAGTTTGGTGTGTGTGTGTGTGTGTGTGTGTGTGTGTGTGTGTGTGTGTGTGTGTGTGTGTGTGTGTGTGTGTGTGTGTGTGTGTGTGTGTGTGTGTGTGTGTGTATCGTGTTTGTGGGTATGTGTTTGTGTGTGGTACATGCAATACTATCGATAAAAACAGTATTACTTTTAACTGGTTTGCAGCCACATAACTTATACAGCATAATTATGTTCTGATAAAGCTACTTTAAATTATTTTAGTAATGCACTGAATGGAAAAGCACAGCACACTGTCGCACAAGGGCAGGCTACTAACTGTCATGGGTTTGGTCTTTTTTTGTTTGTTTGCTTGCTTGTGTTCTGTTGTAACTGCTGTCCTTTCTGAGCCGGCTCTCCCATGTTCCTGCCCTTCTGTCAGTAGATCCACTCACCTGCTCCCCATTCCCTGATCAGCTCCTTCCTATCTATACCAGAGCATTTACTTGCTGCCAGATTATCTTTGAGCCATGAGCCTGAGCTTTCCTTTGTCTTGTACCATAGTCTGCCAGTTCCTGTGTTTTTAACCATTGCCTGTTTTCCCATGATAATGCTTTGTGTTCAAAGTTCAAGGTTCAAGGCTTTTATTAGTCATACGTACATAGCTACAGTGTAGTTATGAAGATGAAAATCTTAGGTCACAGGCTCCTCCAACAATGCAACACAATAAAAAAGCCTTACCCTTTACCTAATTTGCCTGCCTGGAATTGTTGTATCATTGTTCTACTTTTGTAACGATTTTTGTAAGACTGAGCATTTGCACCTGCCCTTGTGGTTTTATGAATTCGGTTTTCTTCCTTGAACTGTTGGAGTAGCACAGTATAATTACATCTGTTAGTTCATGTGGATGACAGGAAACTAAGAGCTGTGCTCTGGGATTTTACTGCAGCATTTGATGTCATGGACCTCTTATTGCCAAATGTAATGTCAAGGTTTTTCAATTCAACCTAAATAGCAGAACATAAGGATCTCGCTGACAGTTTACCCAGGGTTGGTTCAAAAATAAATAACTAGTTGCTGGCATTATAACCTTCCATACTCCTCAATCCATCTTGAGTAATAACTGGTTGCAGCAATGAAAGAGTAAACAGCAGTAACAAAACACAGATGAGAATATATTACTGTTCTTTACATTAAATGGCCTTTAATATAAGCTTTGGTTCCAGCTTTGATTCCAGCTGTACACAATAACATATCAGGTAAACATCCTGTATGTACTCACTCTCTGTCCACCACCAGGCAGTGTGTGTCGTTCTCATTGCAGATAATGTTGGCTGACCGAACATCCTCACTGTAAACAAACGCAACACAACACACATGAACACATTCTGTGGAGCACCCCTCTGACATGCCTTAGATCTCTGCTCAGGTGAGCAGAAGGATTTGTCCCGTGTCTCCTCTGATTGTTTACCCATAGTCAACCCAGACACAAAGAACTGGCCCAAACTGCTCTCTACAGTGGAGCTACTTAAAGCAGCCTTCTTATCTTCATGGGTTCACTGATTAATTGGTAATATTATAACAAGCAGTGTTGGAAGAAGTATTTAGATCCTTAACTTAAGTAAAAGTACAAATAATATGGCCTTAAAATTCTCCCTTATAAGTAAAAGTCCTGATTTCAAAATATTACTTTAGTAATATTAAAGTAAAAAAGTATTAACATCAAAATATACCTAAAGTACAAAACGTAAAAGTACTCATTCTGCACAATGACCCATATCAGAATAATATAAAGATACAGAAGTATTATCAGCTAAATGTAGTTCAAGAATCAAAAGTAATAAGAGTACGAAAACGGATCTCTTCAAATTAATATATTTTACGGTTATTATGTTATCCTGTTTTATCCATATAATAGCATTTTAGTGTTGAAGTTATACCATATCAGATCATGTGTTTTAATATGTACAAAGTAACTTGGAGTGTTGTAATAAATGTAGTAGAGTAAAAAAAAAGTACTTAAGTAAAACCGCTCACTACAGTGGACAGGTAGGATACTCAAAAGCAGTATTATTATCTTCATGGGTTTCACTGGTCAAATGGTAATGTGTTAACAAGTGAGCATTGATGGCTGCCAGAAGAACACGGAGCATGAGCTTCAGAGAGTTGGTGCTCACTGAATACCATGTGATGTGAGCTTTGAGGGTCTAATATATCTCGGTTTTTACAGTTCTGCAGTTCTGTGTCCTCAGTCCTGTCTGTACCTGATCAGAGCTTTTTCTCCAAAGTAATCTCCAACTCCCAACGTCTTGATTTCTTGTGGTTCAGCCAGCCCCTCTGTGCTCTGAGTGACTATCACCTACAGAGAGAACTGAACTGAGACAATCATTCTTTTCTAATGGGAGTCAGTCACTATACAAGCTGTAGAGGCAATATACAGTATATGGGACCTAATATTCAGCTTAAATTATACATAATCATTCATAACTGGATATTTTGTATTAAACATATATTATTTCCTATACTTGAGAATCATATTCTACATGCAAAGCTAAATACCTCAATCATATGTCCTATAGCATCAATGTAAGTTATGAGCAGCTAGGATTCTTAAGGAAACACTGTATAGATTTCCAGATGTTTCGTCATTTGAATTGCCCTCTGCGTATTGCAACTACTGCAGACAAAATGAGCTCTGAATAAATACAATTATATATATATTGTCATGATAACATTTAATTTATTTGCTTCAAGGCAAATGAATCGTGCAAATGAACTTGAATCAATCAAATACTGAGGCTTTAGGACAGTTTGACAGGCTTGTGCAGATATCTCACCTCTCCTTTTGCAATAATAAAGAAAGTGTTTCCTTCTTCACCCTCTCGAATTATATACTCCCCTTTTTCAAAATAGTCCTGAAAAGACAGAAGGTCAGTCATTCTCTTTAAATCAGAAACAGACACGGTATGGAACTTGATAAAATGTAGAAATATGCTAAAAAACGTGAGTGTGAAATACTCACCACTTCAAGACAATCCACAACCTTGGCCAGCTTCTCCTCAGGCAGTCCTCGGAGAAGTGACACACTGACAGAGACAAAAAGAAACACTTTTTTTTAACGGATGTTGGGATTTATCATATACAGTAAACTGCAAAATAATAGACATTTAGGAAATGTTACAATGCACTTAAATGTCTGCCAATAAAAATGGTCTTCAAGGCTTTGTATTTGGTATATCATGCAGGATTTTGATGATTTAATAATGATAGCATTTAGACTCAATTTCTTAATTATGAAATGAAGACATTTTTATTTTACCAGCCACTACAGCACTGCTGGTATTTTTTTCACCTAGAGTGTCTGAGCAAAAGTCAGTCTTAAACCTGTACAGGTGTGCAGTGGTGGAAAGTAACTAAGTACATTTACTCAAGTACTTCAATACACATTTAAGGTACTTGCACTTTACCTGAGTATCTCAGTATATGCTACTTTATACTTCTACTCCTCTACATTTTGGAAGCAAATGTTTTACTTTTTACTCCACTTCATTAATTTTAGAGATGTATTTACTAATTACTTTATACATTCAGATTTTGACAAACAATACTCAGGTAAGCATTTTAAAATAAGATGATTTGGTATGGATAAAACTATCGTGCATTATATTTAATTTACCTAAATAACTTAAAGTGGGGTTAACACAACATTTATTGGCAGCACATTCTTCTAATATTTGAAGATTTGCTGCTTTTGCTTTAAAATATTAACAAATGTGTGTGGGGGGGGGGCACAGAGTGTTACCTGCACAGGAAGCTGAAGTACTCGTTATGGCGCGCCTGTGTGGTCTGCATCATGATGGTCTGGAAAGTCTGGCGGTCCAGAGCCCAGATTTTAGACTGGGACACAGCTGGAGGAGAATCAACCATTCATTTGATCTGCTTACCATATCAGTTGCTTATATATTTTATTACTATTTATTTATTTTGTATTTCTATGCTGTATTCAGTCCAACAACATGCTGCAGATGTACTGGAATGACTATTATGATCATGTTGGGGGATTGTTTTCGGTATTTCTGAGCCAGACAAGAACACTGTCATTGTTTCATGTTCTGGAACATTTTGGAGATATGTTTTCTGAAAAGAGCTAGCTGTTTTCTCATGCATTCTCATCCTCATTTATCATGTCTGCACACAAACACAGGCAGAACATTCCAACTAAACTTTGTTTAACTACTTCTTTAAGATTATGTGTGCAACTATTAAAAACAAAATGAGGATTAATCCTTAAATAGATTTCAGACAGCTAACCTTCAGGTATCTTTGATCGGCTGCATTTTCGGCTGTCACAAATATAACACCAAACATTTTATTGCAACATTTATTTTTTCACGTGTTATAATTTCTCCAGGTGCCAAAGTAATATTTATATTGTGATATTTAAGAAGAACAAATCAAAAGCTAAGCTAAGATAAAGACAATTCAACTATCAAGTCATCATTTCAAGTCATAATGAAAGCAATTAATTATTCAATAGATGTTATTAAGGCCTAATTTAAATGTAAATGAATGTATTAAAATTCAAGCTGATGAGTGAAAGGATTATCATTTAACACACTGCAGGCCCCATGTTTACCTGAAATGTTCGTGTTGCATTGTGAAAAATAATTGTGTCTTTCCATCAAATGTTAATTCAAACATATTGGGTGTACAGTTAAAGCTTATACGCATGATAATATTATCATATCTGTGGAGTTGGTGACACATGGATGAGCAGGTTTGAGGTATATTTAATAACTCCCTGTGAGATGGAGGTGTCTTAAATGATATGGATATGGTTGTCAACAAACACGCCATAGCATACACACTGAAGCACCAGGGAGTGTGATCCCAGAGGGGACACACATAAAGGACCAGAACTTATTTAAAGAATGGCTGCTCCCCTCACCTTTGACCGTGGCTGTTCTCTTACAGTTGTACAGTATGGCCAGCTCTCCAAATGCAGATCCAGGACGCATCTCCCCCAGCAGCTTCCCATTCTGGAAGACCTCCAGCAGGCCATCTGCACGGAGCAAACACACCTTACAGTTCCACTCATCTACATATCTGTTGGATACAGATGTTAGGATGGCCGGCCTTTCATTATTCCTATCATCGATCACCCTTACCATTCTATCATCCCTACGATTCTATCACCCCTACCATTTTATCATCCCTACGATTCTATCACCCCTACCATTCTATCACCCCTACCATTCTATCATCCCTACCATTCTGTCACCCCTACCATTCTATCATCCCTACCATTCTATCACCCCTACCATTCGATCACCCCTACCATTCTATCATCCCTACCATTCTATCATCTATCACCCCTACCATTCTATCACCCTTACCATTCTATCACCCCTACCATTCTATCATCCCTACCATTCTATCATCTATCATCCCTACCATTCTATCATCTATCATCCCTACCATTCTATCATCCCTACCGTTATATCATCCCTACCTTTCTATCATCCCTACCTTTCTATCATCTCTACCTTTCTATCACCCCTACCATTCTATCATCTATCATCCCTACCATTCTATCATCCCCACCTTTCTACCATCTCTACCGTTCTATCATCCCTACCATTCTATCATCTATCATCCCTACAATTCTATCATCCCTACCGTTCTATCATCCCTACCTTTCTATCATCCCTACCGTTCTATCATCAATACCATTATATCATCCCTACCTTTCTATCATCCCTACCATACCATCATCCCTACCATCTCTATCATCCCTATCAACTGTCCAGCAAAATCTCTTTAACATGAAATGGGACATTGTTAGTTGCATCAGATCCATGCTCTGCAGAGCTTACCTGCCAGGACATAGAGGTAGTTTCCAGGTTCCCCCTCCTGGATGACCAGCTGTCCCTCGGTGTAAACCTTCTCATACATGCAGTCCACCATCTCCCTCAAGTGCTGCGGCTCCAGCTTGTTCAGAAAGTCATTGTTCATGATGGCACCGTTGATGAGTTTCTTGGTTCTGGAATTCAGGAAGAAGCCGAGATAAACAAAGTCTAATGTTAGTTATCCATACCAATATCACATCACACATTTACCTCAGGGGTTTAAAAACCTTTGCAGCATACAAAAGCCTTTGTCCTCTAAATATGAAGACCTCACGCAGGATGCTAGCTATGTTTTTGTTGTTATCCTGTTAGCTGCCAACCAATAAAGGTGGTCACCTACTGTATGGTCTTTCCCGTATGCGACGTCAAGGAACGCCACAGTAAGCACGCAGTAAGCTTAGCTCAGTGTTGCTGTTTTCACTGGAAGCAGCAGAGAGCAAACAATATAGGTTGCTTTCCCTCAGTTCATCAGTTTCTTTTGCATACAAAACAGCCAATGATGTGATCAACAGCTAATGAACATGTAGCTTCAAGATTTGACCTAGCAGAGACAAATTCAAGATTTGACACAACAGAGACATATGAAAACCAATTTATTAAAACACATGTCGCTATATATATGTAATATTTTGTATTATATTCTGCGGTATTGTATTATGTAAGGGCTGACTTCTGTAAAATAGTTCTGCGATTCATTTATTTGCACACCTTCATGGTTCATCCACAGGAGAGGATTCTGTATTAGACACAGCACTAGTTTCAGGTTTCCATCAACGATTTTTAAAAATGATTAGCCCAAATGGAGGACCTCAGCAAAATCATTTATGTCGTGTTTTGCTTGATTTGGTCAGGTAGATTTCCCCTGCCCAGAGTCCCATATGACATAGACATAGTGTCGGGTGTGATAGGGCCACTAAAGAACATTTTGACAGTGGGGCAGGATCATTTGAAAATGTGATTGTTAGAATGCATTGCTGTATTACTGTGAAACTACATTCTAGTTCTAATTCTAAAGTGATTCTTCACGTTAGTCCAGGATGCATGTTATAAGCTCAACCATGCCACTGCCCATCATAGATTATACCTTTATATGCTAGCATATTATTTATTTATTTACAAAACCAAATGTGATCTAAACAGTAATGTATAATTATGTGTTGGTTTCACCAGACGTGTTTGCTACAATAAAATATTGCAAATATGGGTCCTGGTTCCAAGCCACTGCATTAATGTGTGCATTTTGAATTTATTCAACAGATTTCCCTGAGTGGGTGTTTTTGTTTTCCTGATTAGCACATCACACAGATGATGTGCGGTGCGTTCAGTGGACATGAGGGTCTGAATGGATCTGAGAGCAGCAGGCAGTGGAGGTTGAGTAATTGAAGCTCATAATGACCCAGATCCTGCATCTAGATTCAGTGGCCCTTTGTTCCCTCCATGTCTTTCTATTATCCTGCCATGGTAATACAGCCTTTCAGATGCCCAAAGGTCTTCTGTTTTGGTCGATCACATTTAAATTACAACGACACCGTTTTTTTAGTAAAAGCTTGTTGATAACCTAATAAATACTTTTCTAGATTTATCATCAGTAATGATTTTGTAAGACATTTTCTATAGACTTAGTAGCTGTTTTTCTACACACCAAGGAATATGATTTATGGTCTTAGTAAAACAAAAATCCAGGTGCTAGGTAGAGTCGTATAGACTTTAGGGTGTTGTTGATAGCAAATAGCATTATATCTTATGTAGACAATAATGATTGGCCGATTTGGACAATTTCTGAGTGGTTTTGGGGATGATTGAGGATGCTGATTCCATATGACATTCTCAGGATCCCAAAAGTCAGTTTTAACAAGAAAATGTAGATATTTGTAATCCCGGTGGGCTGATTTTGGGTTTGATTTGAAAGTATCAGAGGGAATATGTTTACTAGCACTCTAAAAGTTAATGTTAATGTGTGGAGTGTCCCGTTAACTTACTGTGAGTCTTTCCGGACAGACTTTACAGTGGGGGTGTGAGCTGCTCTGAACCCCCCGCAGAAGTTTTCTGAGGTAGGCTCTGCAGAAACGCCCTCTTTGGCTCTGAGGCGGCGATGCACCTCCACAGCCACCCTGTGGAAGCGGCTGGGGGCCTGGTTGATGACACTGAAGCGGGGGGGTCGCCGGGGGCGCCGGGGCTGGGGGGAGCAGCCCAGACTGCTGTTGTAGCCAATAGCATCCTGGAGCTTGGCCACCTGGGAGACCTTGGCCTCCAGCTCACTCTGGAGATATTGCAGCTGAAGCTCCTGGGCCCGGAACTCCTGATCCCGACGGGCCAGCTCCTCCTCCAGCTGGGTGATCCGCAGCCTGAAGAGCAATATCAGTTCCATCACTGAATACAAAATCACACTACTGCACACCGACTCAGTCTACACTACAAACATAGAGCAGACAACGTCTGAAATGCTTAGCTGGACCAAATGCATGTCGGAAAAATGACTATACATTTAATACACATCGTAAAATGTGCTACAAGTTGGAGAAGCATCCATAAGGAAGCTCTTTATTCATTTTTAAATGAACGATTTTTTTTGACATTTCCTAAGCATAAACTAGAAGTTGGTACGTAGTAATTCTTGAGAATTAATCAAGTTGTTTTTGAAGGTAAAGCTAATCAAACCTGAACCATATTATTGAGTGGTTTTATAACAATGATGACATTATTGATAAACAACACATTTTGCTGTTAGGTTGGATCGAAGTCTTGGTTATAAAGGCAACAGATGTTGTAATGTAATGTAATATAATGAATGATGGGACATTTCCAGTAAAGCAAAGACCAATGACATTTCACCGAGGGCTCAATGATTAATCACACAAAAAACGTGTAATAGCCACATTGTTCCACAGGGCAAAACGTAGTATGTTCACAAAAACATCCTCTCAGATTGTTACATGGCTAGGTTTCTTTCTTTCATCCTGTCCTCCTACAAAAAACGACCAAATAGGTTGATTGTTCAGCAGCTTAATACGACCCCGAGTCACGCTTTAAAGTGTAGCACCTCTAGTGGTCGTGTAATAAACAACATGCTCCCGTTGATTGCAAACGCTCCGGAGATTCTTTTATTCACAAATAACCCTCTCTAGAAAATCCTAAATTATGCAATAGTTTGGCCATTAAAATGCTTTTTGATTAGATTCCTAGCGAGAAGTACTGTATTGTACTCTTATAATCTACGTCCAGTGGATGTGTGATAGTTTGATAGATATTACGAAGATGATTTGAGGTCTCACCAGAAGAACGTGTATACGCGGCAGCTTCCATGTAAAGTTAGCGTCAACCCTCACGGGGTGAAAACAGTATTTCCGGTCTCGAAGTTTTCATAATAAAACCTGAAGTATTCCCCTCACTGTCAAATGATTACAGTGATATCTGCA